CCCCGTGCACGGGGGGGCCCCGGGATGCGCTGGGGAAGAGGGGAAAACTGGGAACATTTCAAATCCTGAAGGAAAGAGGGGGGAAAAAAAAAGCTACCGCTTATCCCTCGTCATTTAAGCAAGATCCGGGAGAGCCGCAGGGCTTGTTTGCCACGTGTTTTGCCCTTCATGTGTAAAAGTAAATTCCCACAAACCTGCAGATTATAAACAGGAGGGAATTCCTGTTGTGCCAGGGCGCCCTGCGCAGCGCAGGGAAGTCAGGATCCCGGGAAGCAGGAGCGGAAAGCCCAGCCCCAGCTGCTTCAGTATTGCAGGTCAACAGGAGCCCTTCCCGCCGCCGCGTGCGCTGGAGGGGACGGGCAGCGAACGGCCCCAGGGAGCAGAACGGCTCCCTCTGCTCCCCAAAGCCTTCCTGCTGGAGCGGGGAGCCCTTGGGGCCGACCCCGATTTACACACGGGTGCAGGGGAGCCGCGGATCTGATGGCAAAACGCAGCCCTGCGTTTACAAAGGGAGACGGGTTGCAACTGGAAGGGCCAGTTTATTAGAGAAACCTCACACTGGAGAAGTCACAACACGGCGGAAGGGGCCAGGCGCGCAGAGCCCGGATCTAACGCCCAGCTCCGGCAGCGCCACCGAGGGAAGGGTTAACTGCAACAGAGCTCATGTTTACAAGCAGCCTGAGACGGTATTTAAGTTCAAAAGAAAACCTCCCCGTTAGACAGTTTGTTAAAACAACAACAAAAAACGTTTAAAATGTTTAACAGCTCTGTGTTGGTGGCCGCAGCGTGACGGGGAGGCGGAGGTTACGACACACACAGTTCTCTGCGGGGCTCTGCCCGGGGCTGCTCTACCAGTGAAGGCCGGAGGGGGGGGTCTTCTCGTCTTTGTTGCTTTCCAGGGAAAAGGGTGGGATTCGGACATCAAAGTGGGAGCCATCGGGCCTCTCAAATCGAAAAGTACCCCTGCAAGATAAAGGCAGAGATCACACCGAGGCCGGGGCAAACACATCCGAATCATCAGCTATGAAGTAAGAAATTAACTTTTTGTGTCCTGCGGAGAGACCCTGGGGCTGCGTTTGCACAGGTTGGCAGCCGTCCAGCTCCCTGCCAGCGTGACTGGGCTATCCCAGCCCTCCCGGGCAGGTCACAGCACATTTCCTGAGGAGAGATGTCACCCCCAGCCTCCGCAGTGTCTGCCTAAAAGCCACCCCAGAGGAGACAGAACCATCTGAGCTATTTTTACAAACTCCAGTTTACTGGTTATCACCAGTAAATTCAGATTCTTATTTCTTGGCAGAAGCTCCATTGGTTAGAAAGCGTGGGACAATCATGAAATCCCATTGCAGACATAACCTGGAGCAGCGTCTGCTTTGAATTTCAGAAAGGGCATGGAAGAACCGGATCTATTTGTCCTTGCACAGGAGAAGCATTTGCCATGTTCCCAGAAGAACCCTCGCTGTGCTCAAATACAGGGCAACTCACACTGCAGAATGTGCCCTGGGCAAGAGCACTGTGGAGATACAGTAACAGGTTCTCATTACAGAGAGGACACAGAGACAAAAGGAGCCAAGCTGAGCTCGACTTCTGAACTACAGGACTTTTGTCTCCTTCTCTTCATGATGCAAGTAGAGAGGAAAAAATACAAAACCCCTAAACGAACTCTTTTCCTTCCCCAGGACATACATTCAGGCAGTTTTAAATACACAGCATGGTAAGCAATGCTAAGAAAGGTCTATCTTATAGGCAAAGAGCTGCTCTCATGTATTTTACAGCTCAGGCAATTCCAAGGCAGTTTAACTTCTGAAACAAGATTTACTCAAAGACCTCAAAACAGAAAGACCTGTCACACAAAAGGCAAGAGGTGGCAGCGCATTTCTTGTCCCCACAGAGATGACACTACCTGTGCCAACCCACCTGGGAAGGGAATCTGTTTCAGCCCCAAGGCACAGGAAAAGAACAGCTCAACCCGAGCACTTTCTTACATGCTTACAGAAGAGGAGACTTTACTATAGCTTAGACTGAAGGCCTTATCTGACCTAAATTAGGAGTAAACCTACATGCCAACTTCTTGGACACAGAACTGCACGGCTTCGCCCAGAGGGGGCGCAGGGAGTGCTCGTGCTGTCCTAGGGAAACACCCCTCTGCAGGGGAGAGAAACCACAACCTGCTGGGGATGGAGAACTGCTCCAGCTCTTCGCCAGTCCAATCCAGAGAAAAAGGATAAATTAGCCCAGAGCCTCTCTCGGTGCAGGGAATCAGATGTTCTTACCACTAACTGGGACTACTACAGGGTAGCTCATAAAAACACCCATCTTTACTATCAGCTGTGTCCTGTCCAGTCCACTTCTACCCACCTTCGAGTCTTAATCCCAGACTGCAGCCTCTGCATCCCAGATCAGTGCTGCGGGGTCCCGTATCTAAATATCCCTGCAGTAATGAGTGCTCCTTACCACATATGCCCGCTGGACGCCTGCAGGGAGACGTGACTGCTGTACTGAAATGCTGGCTGCTCTTTGGATAAAACTGGCTCCTGAGAAGACAAGAGAACACTCTACATCAGCAGCGGGTCTTAGGACTTCTCCACAGCCACCCATCAACAAGAAAATTACACAGCAACAAGAAAAACAGACATCCATGGGCTAGAAAATAGTACCAGGCACCAGTTCTTCTTGTCTGCTTAACACCCTGAGCTTCACTACCCGCTAGACGACAAACAGCTCACCCAGTGAGGAGCGTGAGAATTGCAGTTTTCCCATTATCAGTCATTTAGGATCATTCTCTAATAGTCAGTGTGAGGTTTTAGCTCACAACTATTAACAACAGATAAAAAGCTCCCCATGATCTTTTCATAGCTTGCTTTGTATCCCATCTAAAAACACCCATTAAGAAACTGATGGCTAAGTCAGCCCAAGCAAGGGTTATATTTCCCCGAACAAATACAAGATGTTACACGATACCTACCCTTCCTACAACCCCACGGCCCCTGACAGTTTCCAAGGTGCCCGACAAGCTAAATATCCTCCAGTGCCGTTCTCGTAGTTGTACCACTTCACTGTCAAGGTTCTCCAAGCGAATACAGTAGCGCCACTGGACAGAGGAAAGACTGTGATCAAGACGTGGAATCAGCTGCAAATTGCTAATAACCCACAGCTGATACCGCGAAACAGTTGCCAGGCAAGGGCTACTCTCCCTCCGAGCTTATCGCACAGCAATGCTGCCACCGCAAATAAACTCCTTCCCTTTAGCTGCTTTGTGAAACAAAAGGCACTTACCCAGTAGACATGGGAATTCTGGGCTTCCTGTCAAGAGAAACAAAAGACTTTAGCAGCTGTCCCTCAAAGCCCAGCGCCAAAACCTCTCCAGCTGGCAGCACTGCACAAGCACCGGGGCTGGTGCTCCGCGCCGGGTGACGCAGACACCTCCTGTGAGCACAGAGAGCTGCTCTCCAGAGCAGCCCAGCAGGTCCTGGCACTGCTCTGGGCATGGAATCATGAGGTGGGAGAATTTCAAGGATCTTGTGACTATAGAGGGTTGATCAAAAATAGATGTCTATGTTAAGGACACATTATACAGGGCTAGGCACACCTCAGTCCTTGCCTTCAGGCATCTCTTTGGCTGTGTTAGGACAAGTATCAGTTGGGATCCATGGGAGCTGCCATTCCACATCACAACTATCCCATGTAACAGCCCAGGCTCCCAGGCAGCCACACTCAGCTGGGTTCAGAAATCCAAGTGCCGATGGAACTCCCAGCCCTCCCTCTCAGGGAATGGTTGGCTAACACCAGGTCCTATTATTTGGGATGAGGAACATCAAATTGAAGCTTTAAAGAGCACGTGGCACCAGCTAAACCCAGAAGGCTTTAGCCAAACCCTCTAACCTGCATTAGAAGCAGCAGACAGACCTTGGCAGCCACAACCTCCCCGCTGGACAGGTTAACAGCACATGCCTGTCACTATAGGGCAGGTGGCCTTGGTGCCACCCTACACACATGCCCATCTGCGACTCAGGCAGTCAAAGATCAATGCACAGTCTTTCCTAAATCTTCAGGACTATCTTGCTAACACTGTTCTGCAGAACAGTCCAGGTTATTTCACACCCTACAAGTGACAAGCAAAAGCTAAGCTGCAGGAGCTGTTCTCCAAAATCGTATGAGAACAAGGTTTCAAGTTCTCTGCTGGAAATAATGACAATGAAATCACAATTATGAAAAGCAGTCATTTCTCCAGTAAGAGCAGAAAATAACTCCAGTCTGTATACTGGGCTTAGGAAAACACATAAAAAAACAGATCACGGAACCAATGTGCAACACGCAATACAGACCTACCCTCATGCCCATATAGAAGGGGATGACTGTGACTCGGATGTTCTCCGTAGTTTCTCGGTGGACATCGGAGAGCTCCAACCACGGGTGGTTCTTCTCCTGCCACGCACAGAGCGTATCCCTCGCTACAAAAGGTGGAACTGCAGGGACGGGAGAGAGGACAGCTCAGCAGGAGAGGCACTTTGTAACCAAGCGTCCTCCCCTCTGAGCTCTCACATAGTTGCAAAAATTATTTAAACGAGGCTTTACTATAACAAAATCCAAACCAGACCGTGATTTACACTTATTATGATGAGTTCCAGACACTCGTCTTAGCACAGGTTAAGCAGCTGGGTGCCAAGGCTTTCCTTTGAAGCCTTAAGTTACCTTTCGTTTGGTCGTACATGAGAAACCTCTCAAAGAGCTCGTGCTGGATGGGCACTTGATCGGTGGAGCTGTAGGGAAGGATGTCTTCGTGGCTCACATAGTCTAAACCTGAAAAAAAAACCCAAAGCTACTGAACTTCTCCAGTATAGAGAAGAGCAGAAGAGGGTTATGACTCTTCTAACCCTGCATGGTAACAGTCCACACCTCTGGAAAGCTCTGGATGCACCAGCAGGGCACGTTACTCACCTGGGATGGCGTAGAGGGCTCTGCTGTCATCGTGATTTGCCAGGAACGTAACTGCTTCTGTCTGCGACCTCTGGGACTGAGAAACAGGGAGATTTACATCTTTCGGTACAAAATGTTGCAGACCACTTTCCATTTGGGTTTTAATTTACAGTTCTCTCCCACGCATGTAATTTTTATTTTACTGAAGCGATTCACACCAGATTTTTTAAATTTCTCTAGACTAATTCTCCACTAAAACATCAAGCAAGGAGGGGTTTTGGTGCTGTCACCCACATGCAACAGAATATGAACACCAACAGGAAGAAGAACTGAGGTTAGAGAGGAGAAGTATGGCTCAGAAAATATTGATATGACACTTGAGACCATCTTTCTCAGGAAAACTACGACCTGAAGAATGACTTTGTCCTAAAAGTTCCAAACATTCCCTGGATAAGAACTCACACTAGTCATCTTAGCAGCACTCTGTCAGCCTTTTTACTCCAGTAGCTGCACATTTAGGGAATTCACACAGGACAAGCTCTGCAAGTGTAGGCAAGAGAGTTACGGGTTACTTACTATATGTGGACAATCCCGAGCATCTATTAACACCTGATAGTAAGTGTGTGTTTTGCCTTTGACTTCTTTGGAGCCATGGCCTGCTGCATTCTCACTCCTAAATGGAAAAGAAGAGCAGGGAGCTCAGAGCAGCCCCCAGTCCCAGCATCAACCCACCCCCTCGCTGCAGCATTTCCGCATGGGATCAAGCTCTTCCTTCAGGAAACTGTTCTTTCAAGCCCACTCATAAACAGTATTTTTTTAAAGTATATTTCAGAGTGTTAAACCATTCAATTATCCATCTTCAGGCCATCCACCCACACGTCGATAAATGGGCTGGAATGACAGTGAATGGTGCCTGTCACCGAAGAGCAGCTCCGTTTTTAGATCTGCTCTTCCTGGCCAGGCTGGGGGAGCTCTTTTCCCTGCTCATTCGCTCTCTATCTGCTCATTCCTCAGCCCAAACACACTCACCTGGCAAACCTCCAACAGGCAGCAGGAAAAATGGCTGGGAGAGGTGAGGGAAGGGAGTAAACAGACACAGTCTATGCCACGGATAGACTTTGCCTAACGGGCTGAAACTGGGAAATCATGTGGCAAATGCAATTCCCTGGCAATGTGAACAGGAAACAGCCTCCAATTTTAACACAAGAGCCTCGTCCTAACTCAAAAAGCAAAACAAAGCTTTGTTTGGCTACAAAAAAATAGTGGGGAGGCTTGTTTTTTATTTTCTAGACAGACACAGTCCTCCTTCACAAATCCACCCTGTCTCTTAACTAAAATTAATACTCCAGCAATCTCTCCTCTTTCAGCCCCTCTCAACTGATCTTCCTGCAAAACAGACTTGCACTACTGTCTTCCTTAAAAAGATTTGCTTATCCTAATTAAAAAAGGCCTTCAAGAAATGTAAATGTAGCAGTATAAGAGCATATAAACAAGAACAAATCCTCACTTTTCTGTGACAGGAGAAGCAACATCTCGATCGTAAAGCCTGGCTTGCCAGGGAAACAGGACTATTCCTCGATAGCCAAACACACTGTGAAGAAACAGCTGAAAAGACAAAATGATTACATTTTAATACATAGCAAACTTCTGTCAACTTAGGTACAACAGAACACGTGCCAAAAGCCCCTTTTTTCCAATAATATCTAGAAAAAAATGCATGGAGGCAGCATTAGCAGTGTTTACATCAGGAATAAAGAGAGAATCATCAATGTGTAGATAATAGAGATAAAGGGGGAACCAGGGTGGCTTGGGATGAAAGAACAAATTCACATAATCTCTGTCCCATTAAAGTGAACGACTAAATCAGTTATAACAGTTATAACTAAATCAGTTACACTGGACATCAGAAGTAAAGGAAAGGAGACCAGAATGGAAGAGATCAAAGCCGGAGAAGCAGATATCTGAGGAATGAGCATGGAAATGACAAGTTCAGCTTTTTTCCTCACACTCAGCAAAGGGAAACTGCTTAAAATCAGCGGAGCAAACGCCGCTGGAGGAGCAGTTGTGTCGCGCTGCAGATTCTTATCGGGGTCCCGCAGGCAGACGACTGACAAACTGCGGACGACTGACAAACCGCGGACGACTTTTTCCTCACACTCAGCAAAGGGAAACTGCTTAAAATCAGCGGAGCAAACGCCGCTGGAGGAGCAGTTGTGTCGCGCTGCAGATTCTTATCGGGGTCCCGCAGGCAGACGACTGACAAACTGCGGACGACTGACAAACTGCGGACGACTGACAAACCGCGGACGACTGACAAACCAGGAGCGCCGGCTGCGGGGCGGGCTGCCCCCAGGCCGCTCACCGGGCCCGTCGGGTCCTTTTTGGCTCACCTGGCCGGTCTCGTACTTGCCGTGCTGCTTCGGTGCCTCGAACACCCCCACGGTCTCCAGCACTTTGCCCTCCGGGCGGTTCCTAGGGGCCGAGCGCGGCTTTGCGGAGGCTGCG